TGCACGCCAGGTCCACGTCCTTGCATCACAGGCTCCAGGAACGCCAACAGCAAGGTAATTCATTCTAATTAGGCCATTTGCCATTCCCGAGTCTGTCCTAACTCGGCCAGCTGCTACCTGAGAATGCTGCTCTTCAATCAAAACCAGTGGCCGACTCTTGTCTTTGACCGCTGGGGAAACCATCAGGGCGACAGGGAAGAGCCCGACTCATGTTCGGCTATAAAACAGCACGGCGGTCGGCGGATGTTTAAATAGCCAAGCATGACTCAACCGAAGGTGCTTAACTGTTGTCTTTGGCCGTCCGGCTTGGTTCTTTTTCTAATAATGGCTAAAGTTTCATGCTTTCGAGCTGTAACAACATGGTACAAGGCAGCACCAATGAATATATTAAGGTCTTTCAAGCTTCATCAGGTGTGTGAATCTCAATTTGACAGAATGTATCCAAACACACAAATCACATGTTGAGTAAACAGAGATATGTGTTCATAATTTGTATATTTTCTGGAGAGCTCTGTACTGGACTTTACAATTTACAGTTTGTATAGCAAACACATTGGTTCTCTTTTGGCATTAATATGTAAAATGTATACATATGTTGGGTAGACAATGGTATACACATTGATATCATCTAAAACATGAATATTTTGAGTTCTAATATGAGATCACAAAATAAGAAGCTTATAAAAACAAAGAAAATTCTAAAGGTTTTCAAATTGATGTAACTGCCCTAATATTATATAGCACTTTTTTTGTCCTGGTATTTTTTTTTATTTTGAATATAGCCTATATGTTTATGTTAATTTTATGTTTTGTTGTTGTTGTTATTCTGTCTTACATGCTTTAAACTGTACAGCATTGCCTTATTAAAAAAAGGAACATTTTGAGTTATGAACAACTTTAGAGATATGAAATTTCAATAATCACTCAAAATACGCAATAATTCAATACGACCTCAAACCAGAACTCTAACTAGAACTTTTTAATAGCAAATGCATTTATATCTATAATAAAAGTCATTTTTATTGTTTTATTTATGAGTTTTAATAAGCAGCATGCTGAAATCTCAAATGTGTTTGGATACTAAACCTGCTAGAATGGATGCAATTTTGGCAACAATGGCACTGATGTGCATTTTTGTAAATAAAACATTAACATAAATATTGAATTTACATCGTTTGTTGAAATCCATACGAACCTCAAAGGATTCATAAACATTTGTATGTCTCAGTATTATTTTAGTATTAGGCTAATTATAAACGCTTTAATAGAATTCAATAATATTTTGAATTAGCTTTTATTTGTATATTTTAAGTGATATGTACTTGTAAATTTTATTAGTTTTTTTACATTTCCTTTTTTTAAACAAATTAGCTTTGCAAAACAAGTACTTATTTAAATTTCAGTTAAGGCAACACGTCTAGTTTATTTCATTTAACGAAAACGATTTTTAATAGTTTTAGTTAACAATAACAACATTATGTCTCTGAATTCGTTCATAAGTAAGAGTTTATGTTGATATTTTACTTTTAAGTCTCTGTCCAAAAAGTAGCCCACTGAACGCATGTGGCTACGAATACTAATGAGATCACGTTGTAAATTCACTTTGTAGGAAGCATAAAGCACAGAGAAAGGACCTCTTCAAACTGAATTAGCTTTGCAAAACAAGTACTTATTTAAATTTCAGTTAAGGCAACACGTCTAGTTTATTTCATTTAACGAAAACGATTTTTAATAGTTTTAGTTAACAATAACAACATTATGTCTCTGAATTCGTTCATAAGTAAGAGTTTATGTTGATATTTTACTTTTAAGTCTCTGTCCAAAAAGTAGCCCACTGAACGCATGTGGCTACGAATACTAATGAGATCACGTAAATTTACTTTGTAGGAAGCATAAAGCACAGAGAAAGGACCTCTTCAAACTGTTAGAGCCCTCATTGAGGTCTAAATCCCGCACGGGACACTTAGGGACAGAGTTCTGACCCAATTCACAACCAAACAGGAAGAAATGGCCGAATCCTAACAAGATTTATTTTCATTTGCTTTCAAGACGCGGCGGACGCAGGAACTAGCTTTCGCTCGCTGTATCTTTAAAGGACTTGAAGTTTTCTTGGCAGCTCAGGGAAGAACGGCAAGTTCAGCCAAAATAGACAATAAAGCAAAGGGGAGGAACATGCCAAAATGAAGGGGGCAACTAGTTCCAGGGCTTCATTTTTCCTTCATGATTCACGCTGGAAAAGAAAGCACTTCCCTGTCCTCAAATGAACTCTCGCCGCGCTCTGCGACTCTTACAAGGAAGCGCTGGGGGAGGGGACGGCCACGCGCATTTTTGCGCGCTCGCAGAACTGGGTCAACTGCAGACGAGTCAAAAGAAGCAAGAGAGGTAAACAAACCGGCGAAAACTCGCACGTACAGACACTCAGAGTCAATGAAAGAGACTCTTTTCTCCTCAGCTCTCGTGACTATCCAGACTCTCGCTGTATTCAACAGATCGCGCTCTCGTGGCGGCCTCAAGTTCCCTCCAACTGTCCTGAGGTTCTTCTACTGATTATATGCTTTGTAGAGGAATTAAACTGAAATGTTTTCGACACAAGGGAGATGCCAGATCGCTCACTGCGCGCGCAATTGTAAAGAAACAACACCCCATAAGAAGCTAACTTGATGCAAAAGCTTACATTTAGTCACTGCAGTTGTGGTTTTCTGACTTTGGAGCATCATTCGTTTTAGTTTGTTTTTTATGCCTTCTCTAAATAAAAAAATATGTTCTTTTAAATGCATGCCAAATTAAAGGGAAAATGAAAATTCTGTCATTAATTACTCACCCTCATGCCGTTCCAAACCCGTAAGGCCTTCGTTCATCTTCGGAACACAAATTAAGATATTTTTGATGAAATCCAAGAGCTCTCTTACCCTGCATAGACAGCAACGCAACTTAAATGTTCCCACGGCCAGAAACGAAAAACAAATGAACAACAGATCAACAAATCTTCTCCTCCAAATCACATATTTCGCCATTATGGAGAGTTCCTCTGCACGTAAACTACGCAAGCGCATAGATGCTGCTGATGTAGAAAGCGCATGCGCCTTGTTTACCTGCAGAGGAAAGCACGCACATGCGTCGTGGTACTCTCCATAATGGCGAAATACGTGATTTGGAGGAGATTTGTCGAATCAAGTCGTTATTTTTGTTTTCTTTGCGCACAAAAAGTTCTCGTAGCTTCGTAAAATTGCGGCTGAACTCACATGAATTTTACTGATGTCCTTGCTTCGTTTCTGGGCATGGGAACATTTGTTGCGTTGCTGTCTAAGCAGGGTCAGAGAGCTCTTGGATTTCATCAAAAATATCTTAATTTGTGTTCTGAAGATGAACGAAGGTCTTACGGGTTTGGAAACGACATGAGGGTGAGTAATGAATGACAGAATTTTCATTTTTGGGTGAACTATCCCTTTAAGATTTAAAGCCACTTATGATTATTCGAAAATGATGATATGGCAAATTCTGATTATTACAAATAACATCTATCACCAATGCACGATCAATGTATTGGACCAAAACCAGTTACCCAGAATGCTTTAGTGATGCATTAATAGGAGCTTTTACAGCAGCTATATGGCACCACATTGAAACCACAGTGACTAAGACGATATAGATGAGTCAAGCGTGCTGCCAAAACCACCAAACCACAGTCAAAACCCACAAAACTATCACTTTTGCTTGAGTCACTTTCAATAGCTCTGGCGAGCAGAAGCTGTAGTATCTGGCAGAGCACAGGAGATACTTAGATTCATCAAACTACATGAGAAAGCACATTCCACATGCAGTTAAAACCATACTGTACAAGTTGCATAAATCATTGTCATTTTTATGTTATAAAGTGGTGCTACACCAATTACATTTTTTTTTAGTGTGCAGTTATTAGAATATAGAATAATCGTAGAAGAATGAAATGTGACCACTGCACTTATGACAATGTGACATGATTTTGACGCAATCAAATATTAGTAACTTTTTGAGTTGTTATAATTAAATGTGCATATTGAGCATTAAATGCTACTTTTTCCTTGTAAAGAACATTCTGTGAATCTTCAGTAAAAGGACACTTAGGTGATTACTCATATTAAATACCAGTCTGTACAATATCTGCACAAAATGTGATCATTTTGAACAGACCGAAGTTATTTTACAGATGACAAGTTGCGTTTTAGAAAATTAGACTTAACAGTGTTCTTGTTACTACACAAATACAGAGTAAAAATGATAAACGACATATAAATGAAATTATTTTGCCATTCTGTAATGTACAGTTATTTGCTGACAGTCTGTTTAAGGATTCTGCTCTTCTAAAACACACAGACTGCATTACCAAACTACTATTTACAACATGCACTGTTACGGTTATTTTAATTGATTATATTCACAGTTTATGCATCACATGGACACTATAAAATTTACACAGGCCTATGGTAATTGAATATAGTATTGTCAATACAGCCACAAAAAGCAATCAGCCAGTAGAGTACTGGTGTAAAAATTGCAGTTTGATAAGTTGGCTCAATTAAAAATCACTGGCGGCATTATAGATTTACTTTAGACCTTTATAATGTTTACATAAAAATGTGTATTTCCTATTGAAGCTGATTATGGCATATTTACACTTGTATGTTAAAATTAACTTTCCAATAGCTTTCCAATCTAAAGCCGTAAGGCTACTGGTGTGTATTTTCATTTGATACATAGTCAAAAAATCCTATAAAACTGTCTAAAGGTATCATAATATGGAAAAATCCTAACGGCATCAAATTTGGAGATACAAGTTTGTAAAATCATGAAATATTTGCTGATGTTCCACACTGGCCTTTTATTTTATGAGGACCACTGTATTCTCATTGTGAACTACTGAATGTTCTAAAAAATTGCTGAATGATTCTAAATGATCAGAATACCAGAAAGAATACCACAGAATTTTTAATGCAGTATTAAACTATAACAGGTACACTCACCTTAAAAAAACACCAGGAGGTCATTTCAGAGACTTGCAGTACTTCTGTTCAGTGTTTGAGACTTTGAGATCCGTCTGCAATCTCTGAACCAGTTCCCTCAGCGTTCCAGTAAAGTTCAGGACGTCCTGGTGAAGGATTATTGTGCTGTGGGACAAAGAGAGAGCCGAACCCCACGGTAAACTCCGTGAACTCATTTGATCGCATTTGTGTTGTGCGTCCTCGCGCGTCGTGCCGCTTCTTGGATTACGCTCGGTTACGCACTAGACGCTCTGCTTTCCACCATGTTATTTACACATGTAAAGAGGGAAAACAACTTGAGAAGTGTCAAAATCACCGACTGGAATTTCGGAATGTAAATGAAGTTTGTATGCGGAACGATATAACAACGATTTGGAACGAGGGACGTTTGGATGTGGACTTTCGCGTCTGTTTGTTCCATCAACGCCCATTTCCACATGCCTGAGGGAAAATCACCGCGTAAAACATGTTTAAGCTTTATTTCGCTCTGCATGTGTATCAGTTGAGAGGGAATTTGTATTTTGCAGCTGGAAGTGAGTATAAAGTACTTCATAAAAAGTTTGAGCTCACAGATTATTTCAAACTCACCTGCTTCTCCCCGACTAAAACCTCGACAATGATTACCGCAGTGAATATTGGGTAACAAACACTTCAAAATAACATTGATTTGGAAACGTTAATTGAAGCTTTACAGATCAAAAGTCATGTAGATGCAAATATGTGTATGACGGTATATAAGCATGTTGAAGTCGAATGACATTTCTAATTCTGTGAAAATACATGTGCAAAGTAAATTATCCAGTGCTATATATATATATATATATATATATATGTATATATAATTTTTTTTTAAACGCAAGTATTTAAGTTTTTAAAAACTGACATGCGTTACAGGTTTTTTTTTGTTTTTTTGTATGAATCTATGAATTAATTCTAGAGCAGTAGTGTAGGTGTGTATATATAATGTATTAAAAATATTTATATAATTTATTAAATTATAAGTGTGTGTGTGTGTGTATATATATATATGTATGTATGTATGTATGTGTGTGTGTATATATATATATATATGTGTGTGTGTGTGTGTGTGTGTGTGTGTATGTGTGTATGTACACTACCGTTCAAAAGTTTGGGGTCAGTAAATTTTAATTCTTTCTTTTTTTTTGAAAGAAATTAAAACTTTTATTCAGCAAGGATGTGTTAAATTGTTAAGAAGTTATAGCAAAGATTTATATTGTTAGAAAAGATTTATACTTTGAATAAATGCTGTTCTTTTTTAACTTTTTATTCATCAAAGAATCCTGAAAAAAAGTATCACAGGTTTCAAAAAAATATTAAGTTTCCTATATATATATATATATATATATATATATATATATATACATAAAACATAAATATAAACATGGAAACGTTAATGAACAATTTGTCAAAAAAGATAAATTACCTATTGCAATGATGTTTTATGCAAGTATTTGTATGTTTATATGTACAAATACTGTCATAAATGTCAAAATGTGCAAACATTGGTTATCATTATTATTTTACATTGGCATAAACTGATGTAGACAGGTTAAGTATTAAATCATGTTTTTGACTTTTTTGTCTCTCTCTCTGTTTGTGTATACAGTATATGTGTGACCCTGGACCACAAAACCAGTCATAAG